TAGATAGGCATAGCTGCTATTCAGGCACAGCTAGTATATAGTATTGTTTTGAATTTCTTTTTCAATATTAACTAGATATGTTTGCATAGGCAGGCTAACATTTAACTTACTACACTTGTACATAAGAGATGTTGTTTCTTTCATGATGTATATCATGTTATATACAATATCAAATAAAAGAAATGATGCTTACCTATGAAGAAAAAAAAAAAACAAATATTTCTTGCAAACATATCTTTTCGATATCAAAAATTACTATTGAATTCACAAGAAATTACCTTAAAATACAAAAGAGCTTTAATATATTAAAAAGTTGATTAACATTACACAAATTATCGTTATCATGGTAATCTTGTATTATGATGTCATTTGTCACGTGACTATGCTCGAGTCGAACCGAGTCAAGACTTTTAACAACCCAAATATATACACAATCATACATCAACTCTAAATTATTAGACCAAGAAAAACTAGGAATCCTTTCAGAAAATAAATATTAACACCATAAATCGTTTTTTAAAAAAATAAGTTTACTTTAAAAAATAACAAATAACGTAGTCTATTGTTTGCTTTTAGCAATGAGAATTAAATCGAATCATTAACCGATTTTATACAACAGCACCAACCACAAGACGGCTTATTTCTTCGCTTGGAGATCGAACCGAAAGTTCCATCGTAACACCCGTACTAGAGGCATAACTCATACGATTTTTGGCTAAAACCTTATGCCCACCCAAGAATGTGCCAGAAAGCAATAAAGTATGCACGTTTGAGGATTGAGGTGTTTCTGTATTTTCAACAGCACACATTCCAAGGAGTTCAATCAATGTTGTACAAGTTGCTAAAAAATAAAGGATTTATATAAAAAGGTATAATTTTAACACTTGAAATTCGGTAATTAAATCTACCTTTTAAACCCTTGGCCGCAGTTAAAGCAAACACTTCCACGACTTGCCCACTCTCATCAAGTTTTTCCCAGGCATTTTTAAAATCGCTTAGATAAGTGGGAAGAATGTAATCACCAGTGACTATCTCAATGTCTTCAACCTAAAAAGTAAAAAAAAACAGACCTTGGTTAATATCTTCATGTTAAAGGAAATAATTACTTTACATACCAAATATTCATCTTCATATCCCTCGTCACCAGGTTCACCGGTCGATGGATCACAGTCCTTTACTACGAACTTCAATGTATTTGAAAAACTACAGAATGTATGTTCTTCTGGGTTTGCCTTTCTGAAAGCGACATATACGGAACCAGCCTGATCATACAGTAACTTTGGGGCCGGAATGACAAACTCCTCAACTAAACTACTGTCATCTGCCTCTGATTGCATTAAGACTGTTACATTCTCTAACACTTGATCATTCAACGTATTGGTAATATTGAACTATGAAGGCAGAAGAATGAAAAGATCGTAAAAATTAGAAGAGCAATAACTCGATATCAAAAATTACGGTCTTAAAAGTTCGTACCTGAAATACTATGTGCTCGTTAAACATATGTTTAATACAACTAACAACATATTCAGTTTCGCTCTCCGTAAGCTCAACCGGTTTAATACTACTTTTGAACAAAGTTCCAAACGCTGAAATTTCGGGAATTTTCTCTAATTGCTGAGCATAGATCTGTTGTTGATCGATTCCAGGAGTAGGAGTAACATCCATGCTAGTTGAAACGGCGGCAGTAGCATTGACGCCAATTACTGCCGGTGAAGAAACACCAATTGTCTGAGTGGCTACAACATCATAACTTCGAGATCGCAAATCTTCTGCTTCTGCCTGAGCTTTTGTGATCTTCGGAACGGCAGATAGATCAAACGGCTTCTCGGATGCTTCAGGGTCACTCACATATTGAACAAGTTGTTTTTCAAGGGCAGCAAGAGAGTAAGTTGAATCTAAAAGAATTAAGAAAAGTTAATGACATCATTTTTAAAGTTTGATTTAAAAAAAAATTCTAACCATCTTTGACATATTTTTCCGCGTTTTCTTCATCGTCCAAAAGTTTTAAGTATAACGTGGCTCTATCTCGAACTTCATCATCATTGTCATCCAAGCATCTGCAGTCAAGTTTTTTAAATTTAAAAGAAATGTTAATCTAGTAAATCCATTAGAAACTATGTATTAAAAAAATAAGACATCAAACAACCTTGTGAGTAAAACCTTAATACTTTTTTTAACTTCTGGATCATCCACGCTAACTCCAAATTTTGCAAGCGCACTCACTGCCGCAGCCCTTACAATAGAATTCTCTAATATAACACGATTGTAAATATATCGAATGTATTTTGTGGGTGTAGCAGTCTTCGGACCCTCAATTCCAAGAAGGTGTAAGACACGCACAGAAAGTTTGGTGAATTCACAGTCTTCAATAAATTCACATAGATGTGCCAAAGCTAAGTAAAAAGTCCGATATTAGTTCTCGCCCAACAATCATCAATATTAATTAATTAAATTTAATATAACTAACCAACTTCCTTGGATTCGGGGATGAATTTGACTAAATCAAAAATTGCATTAACCACCGCCCTTTTGAACTCATATCCACCCTCATCTCTTAATACACCACTCAAAAAGCTGAGCATAACAACTTGTTTTGAAGGGAACTTAAGGCACAGCGATCGTATTGCGTCGACCACAATAACTTTGAACTCATCCGAAATTTCTGACATGAATCCTGTAATCTGTTTCATTAAGCGGTCGACACTTGCTTCATTCCCTGTCTAAGAATTTAGAATGTAAATGAGCAATATTACTCTTATATAATTTAGATCATGATAAAAAATATCAAAAATATCATTACTTTTAATAATGTAGTTATAGCGAAAGTGGCTACACTCCTATTTTGATCAGATATTAAATTTTCCATATCCAAGTTACAAGGTTGAACGGCAGCAGGATGGTTCATAGCCAATTTATTGAGTGTGCGAATGGCCGCAAAACGAAGCGTGAATTTCGGTGACGAAAGGAATAATTGAAGTACTATTCAATCCCGTACCCCAAAATTAAAAAAACAATAAATTATAAATCATACATTAATTATTCTTTAAAACAACACCCTGATTAAGTTATTTACCATTAACAGCCGGATATAATTCTTTGGCCGTAACATCTTTAATATTGCATATTGCTTTTGCTGCTTCGAAATTAACAATATCATTCTTGTGTCTCAACCAACCTTCCAAAAGATCATACATTTGTTGTCTTGAACTATAAATAAAAGTTAATACTTGGTGGAAAAATACATTAACAGGCATTTTTGATAATAATATTTACTTATATATACACTGACTCACTTGGGATCCTCATCTAAAATCTTTGCAGCATATCGAATCAATAAGCAATACGCAAAGGAGTTGCGTAGAACGCCACTGGACGTACTAAAACCACTTCTACTACCACCAGACAATTGTTGGATCAACTTTGTTACAGCCATACGGTCATGTTGACGAATCAAATATAAGAGCCCTAAAGCATGATATTGACTAATGTTGCTTGTGGATGGAGGGGAGTTATATGAAGAGCCGCCTGATGAAAAAGATGTCAAGTACGAAGATGCTGTACCGACCAACGAAGAGGGCTTAGAATTAATAGCTTCGTTAACTTCATTGGCCCATCTCTTGATTACATCCTTTCCAGCAGGAAACAAATGATAGCTAGACACTAATGCAGCAGAGGAAATAGACGGCGTTTTGTCTACAATGGCGGCTTTCAGAAATCGTTCAACACTTGGAAGCATTGAAGCCTAATTTGTAAGATATAATAAGTTCTATTTCTTTCCAAAATCAAAAACTTGTAATAAGTCATTAAAAAACCAGAATTTGAAAAATTACATCGGTGATTTTACATAAGGCCCTGATTGCATTTGCCCGATAAATTACTTCGGATTTTGGTTGCATATCTTTCATCAAACTGCTAGTAACCATAATGACATCTTCAGCGATTGTTGAAAGTTCTTTGATTACCAGATATACCATCTGTCGCAAGGCAATCTAAATAATTTGAATAACAGAATAATAAAATTAAATAAATGATCTGACTGAAAATAAATAAATAAATATAATAAAAACCAGAATGTATCGACGGATATTTGCTCCGAATAAGCATGTGTGATTCAATAAATATATACTTACGTCTTTAGATTGGAAAAGCTTGGTTACGCTAAAGAATAATTCGGTTGCTTCCGTAGTTGCCATCGGCTCGCCAAGATATAATAGATAAATGATCTTGGTAAGTAGGAGACGGCATTTTCTTGGAACAATAGGGGTATCGTTAAAAACGCGAGCCTCCTGAAGTACCGTGGTTTTATCAAGATGGTAAAAGACCCCTAAATCGCCTATCCAAACATTTTATAAAGATAAATTTTTAACATGAATGAAAAAATATTCTCTTATTGGGGTATCTATTTATTCATTTACCCGAATCTTCATCCTTTTTTGACAAAGTCATATCTATTCTAATGAATTTTAGCTAAGAGGCTCGAAAGATAAAAATTAAGAATCGAGCGAATCTAAAAAAAAAAAATTTTTTTTTTCTGCGGTGAATAAATTTTGATACCGGAAATGATCGCCGCAGAAACGAATTATATTATAATTTTTTATAAGTAAATATAAGAGAAGTCTATTTATAAAGTCAAAAGCAAAAATATTTTATCTTTTAAATATATAGATTTTTTAAAAAAATTTTATTTATTTTAGTTTGATTTTGAATTAATTAATTAATACATATTAAGAAATATAAACAGAATATATGATTTTTATATATTTTTATTATTTAAAATTTTTTTTAATATAATATAAAATTAAACAAAAAAAAATATA